ACTTGCCTAGTTTCCAACAGACCTCACAACTTCTGAGGATGCCTGCCATAGATGTGGGCAAAACATCAGGAGAGAATGCTTCTGGAACATGGCCATACAGCCCAGGAAAACTCACAGCAACCCATTTATGAATAGTTCTTTGGATAATAAAGTACATTTAAAAAAAATAAGTTAATGTTAATTTAGATGAAATCCTTACTCATTAATTTGGATCTCTGGACAAGTAAGGGAAAGTATCTTATCGAAGTTCCACCTTGAGAAATGTGGCAAGGGGACTCTAGATTTTGGGTTTTCCAGCTGGGTCTCTGATGAGATGGAGTAAACATATTTGTCATGTGTGAGATGTTGCCAAAATATTTGAGAAGTGTTCTTTAGAGCATTGCCACCGCATGAGTCACCTGAACAAATAGGAAGAGCCTTCATTTGACATGCCAGCCTAAATTATTATTTCCTGTTCTGTGAACCTAAATGACATATTATTAGGATAGGGGCTGAATTTTCAGATTCCCAAGTGGCAAAATGACAGTTGTTTTCTTCAACTATGGCTTTTGCTGGCCACAGGCTGGAAGAGAAAAGCAGAAACCATATGTTTACAGTAAGCCAAGAACTAAATGCATTTGACACCACTTTAAGTGCCATGGGATTTTCAGTTTGGTGAGGTTCTCCCCTTTAAATGTATATACTCAGTTCACAAATGCATTCCAACTGCTTCCCAAGGATCATGCCCAAAAGTACATGTACAACGTAGAACTAATATAGTTTAACACCACTTGTTATAGACACAAACATCTTGTGAGCACCAAGTTGCTTATACCTAAGAGCCTTGGAGTTGAACGTTGGTATCCAAAGCTCAAAATCTATGAAATTACAAGTGAAATTTGGAAGCCAGTGTGATGTATTCATTCTCACATTGGACTGTGGCTCTACAGTAGTGGTCAAAGTGGTCCCTGGTCCAAGTGGTCCCAACTCCCTGGTCAAAATGATCCCTGGTCAAGTGGTCACTGATCAAAGTGGTTCCTCTTCAAATGGTCCCTGGTCAAAGTGGTCCTCGTCCAAGTGGTCCCTACTCCCTGGTCAGGAGGTCCCTGGTCAAGTGGTCTCTGGTCAAAGTGGTTTCTCTTCAAGTGGTCCCGACTCCCTGGTCAAGTGGTCCCTGTTCAAGCATTCCCTGGTCAAGTGGTCTCTGGTCAAAGTGGTCCCTGGCCCAAGTGGTCCTGACTCCCTGGTCAAAGTAGTCCCTGCTCAAGCGGTCCCTGTTCAAGCATTTTAGAGTTTTTTTAGAAACTGGTAGCCAGAAGGCACTGCATACTAATTCAACCAGGTCAAGTGGTCCCTGATAAAGTGGTCTCTGGTCCAAAAAATGTTGGGTACCACTGGTTTAGCACAATGTATTCATTCTCATTCTCACATTGGACTGTGGCTCTACAGCAGTGGTTCTCAACCTCCCTAATGCCGCGACGCCTTAATACAGTTTCTCATGTTGTGGTGACCCCCCAATCATAACATTATTTCCTTTGCTACTTCATAACAATAATTTTGCTACTGTTGTGAATCGCAGTCTAAATATCTGATATGTAGGATGTATTTTCATTCACTGGACCAAATTTGGTACAAATACCTGAAACATCCAAATTTGAATATTGGTGGGGTTGGGGGGGGGTGTGATTTTGTCATTTGGGAGTTGTAGTTGCTGGGATTTATAGTTAACCTACAATCAGAGATATCCACCAACAATGGAATTGAACCAAACTTAGCACACTGAATTTTCATGACCAACAAAAAATACTGGAAAGGGTTGGTGGGCATTGACCTTGAGTTTGGGAGTTGTAGTTCACCTATATCCAGAGAGCACTGCGGACTCAAACAATGATGAATCTGGACCAAACTTGGCACGAATAGTCAATATGCCCAAATGTGAACACTGGTGGAGTTTGGGGGGAAACAGACCTTGACATTTGGGAGTTGTAGTTGCTGGGATTTATAGTTCACATACAATCACAGAGCATTCTGAACCCCACTAATGATAGAACTAGGCCAAACTTCCCACACAGAAACCCCATGATCAACAGAAATGTTGTGCTTTCTGATGGTCTTTGGCGACCCCTCCAACTCCCTCGCAAACCCCCCCCCCCAGGCGTTCGACCCCCAGGTTGAGAAACACTGTTTAAAATCTTGCTCATGTTGTTTTACACTTGGAAGCTGTAGTTTTTACAACACTGCAGTAAGGTATCTGTGGTGTTTTTCTGGTGCGGCAACTTGGGTCAGTGTGGTCTTTGGCAATCCCTCTGACACTCCCTTGCGACCCTCCCCAGGAGTCCCAACCTCCAGGTTAAAAAATGCTATGGTTCAAGCCCCTGTTTAGCTATGTAAACCCATTGGGTGGCTTTGGGAAAGTCATATCCTCTCAGCCTCAGAGAAAAATGAATCCCCTCTGAACAAACCCTGCCAAGAAAACCCTACAATAGGTTGGTTCACTTTATGGTCACCGTAAACCAGAAATGACTTGAAAGCACAAAACAAACAACCATTTCTCAGCATGTTTTAACTTACAGGACTTTTGTAAGGAACCTAGAATATTTCCTTGTGAACTTTTGTGTTTAGACTTGGATCCCATCTCCAAGTATAAACAAATATTCACAATCCTAAAGGTTGTCCTACCTGCTTTGTAAGTTGCTTCTCTTCTTTCTCTTTCGGTTCTTTATTCCTGCCAGGATTCAGTGTCTGCTGTCGTAGTACACTGTATAACAAAATAATTTTCCTGGTTTGAAAGTGTTATTTCCAGTTTAATTCTGCAGTATTTGCTTGGAAAGCAGTTGTTAAGCTCCAGAAACGTTTGTTTTTGTGTCTGCCACAAACTAGGTTGAATTGGTTGAGACTTCATTGAAAAACTATAGCAAAATGTGCTGCAGGATGTCCCCCCAAAACAAAGTTTTTACAGTTTAATAAGCTTTGCCCATGTTTTCATGATAGAATCAATTAGGGAATGACATTTATAACTCAGGAACCAAAATGGTATTAGGTTGTGTAATTGGACACTGAGTTAGCACCAGCCCAAAAGAAGAGCCAGATTTAGGTTGGCATATGTGTGAACTCCAAGGTGCCAGAATGCAGTGGGATGAGGTGACATCAAATACCCTACCCTGCCAAACGTAATAGGAGATGGTTAGCAAATATTACATAAGAACAAATACCCCTGTTGCTCCTGTTGCTTATTCTTCCTTGTGCAAGTTGTAAATATGTGGGTCATATATTGGGAGGAAGGTGTAAATAAATACGATATATCAATCAGATGCTGCAAGTCGCTTCTGTTTGCTAGAAATAATATACGCAAGCTGACTGGCACAACCTGGGGATCACAACCAGACACAGTGAAGACATCTGCCCTTGCGCTTTGTTACTCTGCTGCTGAGTACGCATGCCCAATGTGAAACTTATCTCACCACGCTAAAACGGTGGATGTGACTCGTAATGAGACATGCCACGTTATCACAGGATGTCTACACCCAACACCACTAGCTGTGCTAAACCTCTGACCCCCTTTTCCAAACTTAATTGCAGGTGGAGGGTTGCCTTCAAGCTGTGATAGGCACCAGGATTGTGGCGCAGCTGGCTGAGTGTCCGCTGCATTATTAAGATCACTCTGACCAAAAGGTCATGAGTTCGAAGCCAGCCTGGGTTGGAGTGGGTTTCCAACGAACTGTGTAGCCTGTTGTCAACCTTTGCAACCCAAAAGACAATTGCATCTGTCAAGTAGGAAAATTAGGTACCACCTTAAAGTGTGGGGAGGCTAAATTAACTGATTTATGAGGCCATAAAGAAGACTCCAGCAAAGCATTCCAGCGGGGAAGCATGCGGGAATGCGGAAGTGCTTCATCAGTGTCGCAGATGGACGATGAAAGCGACAGCTTCCCTGGCGGCCAGAAAAAGTTAAATAGCCTCTGTCTATGTCTGTATATGTTGGTATGTCAAAAATTGGCATTGAATGTTTGCCATATATGAGTCCCCTGTGGGGTGAGGAGGGCGGTATATAAAAGCTGTAAATAAATAAATAAAATAAATAGGTGGGGTCTTTACTTTGGTTTTTGTTCGAAAAATATGTTGACGTAATAAATGCTTGGAGGATTCTGGGACTTGTAGTCGAATAAATTAAGACTTTGAAACTCTGATAAGCTTATACACGTACGCAGGGATACTCTTTCTAGATTCTCTTATTCCTCCAAACTACAGCAGATCCACTAAACCATGGGAACCTTCCCAAGTGTTGACTTAACCAAATTCCCATTGATTCTGTGGGTCAACTCGAGTTGGGACTAACAATTGGACACAGTCCTTTGTGTATATTTATAGCATATGGAGATATATGGAAATTAGTTCCACTCTTTGGCCTGCTTGGCAAGGATCCACTGTGACTTTTGGGGATGCAGAACCATGTCAGTCTTCCCTTCTAAGGGTTTGCCTGCGTGCATATCCCCCTCCTCATTCCCCTCCTGGAGGCTTTGCTTTCTTTTTATACAGAGCTGAATCCTTGCTTCTCTCTTAGATTTGGCAGATGTTCAACTCAAAAGCTGGCGGTGCCTCCAAGATTAACCTTTATAAAGAGGGCTTGGCGTGATAACGTTTTTCTCCCTCTCTCTGTCTCCCCCTTTTCCTGCTCTCTCTCTCTGTTGGGAGCCTGGGACTGTTTTTGAAAGGCCCGCATAGAGCATCCCCCCATGGCAATTGTGGCTCCTTGTTCTTGCAGAGGCACATCTGCTCCTGCTGAACACCTGCTGAGGTCTTAAGTCTCTTTCCAGACAACCACCTGGACAGCCCAGCCATCCCCAATGTACTATTGCTAGTACTAGTTAGGCTAATTTGTTATAGTAACTCTCAAGCAACCAGGGATGGATAGATAGATAG